TATATACAGACGAAACTATGGAAATTTTAAAAGAAAATTTCCTTTTTTATCTATAGAGATACTTGAATTGAATTGGTGTGAAAAATAATTTGTCTAAACCAGCTATTTCGAACAAACGAAAAATTAATATACATTGAAGTGATAAAGAGGCGGTGAAAAGGAGACAAGTGAATTTTGAACAAAGCCAACGAATTAATAAAAGAGTAAAAAAATAAAAAAATAAAAAGAAACGATACAGGAAACAGACTTGGCCAACCGGATGGAAGTGGAAGGTACCGTATTCCATACAAATATCCAACTACCAGACCGCGTGCACACTGTCTCGTTCCTTGTTCTCCATATAAGAGAAACATGCAATTTTAGCAATCCTCTTTTTTTAAATATTCAAGTATCTTTAATCCTTCGCACTCTCTTTAATTTTCTCTTTTTTTACCTAGCAACAACTACTCAATTCATTTGATCAAAAAAGGATCTAAAAAGGGGGGGGTCTCAACAAAATATCGTACAATAGTAATGAAAAATATTTGAAAGAAAAGAAAAAACATTTTAAATTATTTTAAAAGCTTGTATAATATTGTATAACTCAAACTCGATGTTGGAATTGGCGTAAAGAAATATGATGTTGAGTCACACATAATAGTCCTAAGGTTTAAATTACGATACGAAAATTCGATGTATTCGCGAATAAATATTGCAATTTCCCTCGTCGTTTTAACACACATCGTACCTTTATACTCGAAAACTTAAGCCCTGTATCCAAGTACAACAACCGCCATAACTATTCATCAAAAATGGCGAACGATCCTCGTCGGAATCCGGAAATTTATTGGCCCCATTTCCATCCGGGCGGGCGGGGGCCGTCCTCGCGAGATCGTCGTCGCGGGAAAGATATTCGCGAATCGAGGTTTTTCCGCGGGATAGATATACGGGCCACCGACGACGTGTGGAAATACGCCGAGGAAATACGCCGAGTTCACCTTTGGCGCCGCCTTTCAGCCGGATTTCGTATCGCCTCGCTTCCAAGATGTTCCATCGTC